TCTCTCTCTCTCTCTCTCTCTCTCTCTCTCTCTCTCTCTCTCTCTCTCTCTCTCTCTCTCTCTCTCTCTCTCTCTCTCTCTCTCTCTTCCACACAGACACACAAGTCCTGATCACCCTCTTTTTCACCCTACGTCGATCCTACCACTATGGCGCTCAGGCGCTTTCCTAGATATGGCTGCAATCTGTCTCTTCTTCCTGGGCTGGCATGTTCGTCCTCCCTCTGGCGCCAGCCTCCTCCTTCCACCTCTGGCGCTCAGCAGGGCTCTAGCCACCTGCATGTGTAAGGCAGAATGAATCAGCCGCTGGGGCAGGCAACTCTTTTGCAGAGTAGACCGGTTGGCCTTCTTCAGTTTGCCTCCTTCAACAATTGAGATTTCTTCTTCAGTTTGCCTCCTTCGACAATTGAGATTTCTCGATCTGGGTGGGCCTCCCACCTGAAAGACTGAAAATGAATTTTCAGACTTGTGCATTGCCGCCTTGTCATCAGTCTCAGAGGGTGTGCCTTTGTATTCATGAGTGTGGGCATACATGGCGCCATAGGTGACAGGGCTGAAAGAGACGTGTTCAAGACAGCAGTTGTGCACAGGTCATTGCGATGGGCAACATCCGGATGCCCTATACATGCCTTCTGTCCTGTGTGAACCTTTCCTCAGACCTGCCATCCATGACCCACCTGCCCAGTGATACAGGCACATGACCCACCTTTCCGGCTGCGTGCACCTGCAATTGCATGACATGTATGTGTTTCTTAACCTGTCTGCATGCCGTCAGATGCACACCACACACACACACACACACACACACACACACACACACACACACACACACACACACACACACACAGGGCTCAACTCATATCTACTCGTCTGGATGGAATAGGGGCTTTTGTGGTGCAATTTTAAACACACACACACGCACACACACACACACACACACACACACACACACACACACACACACACACACACTTGTTGGTGGTTCTTTATTCATACATGGCCTAATTCATTGCCCTGCTGTAGAGCATGGGCTGTCTGTTGATGAAGGCATGTTTGTGGGTGGCCACATTTTTTTTGGGTGGGAATGTTTGTTTGGAGTCATGGTCACAGTATCTTTGCGTGGAGGCTCAGAGAGTCTTTGCTGTGGGTGTCACTCCCATGGGCTGCCTTTTCGGAGCACATGGAAGACGGTGGTGCTTCCATGGTGTCTTAAGCAGTAGTGCTCCTGGTGTCGCGTGGCGATTCTGTGAATGTATGCTTGGAGTTCTGGCCACAGTATCTTGGCGAGGAGTCTCAGAGAGTGTTGTTGTGGGTGCCATTCCCATGGGCTGCTCTTTTGGAGCACATGGAAGAAACGGGGACTTCCAGGGTGTTTTAAGCAGTAGCCCTCCTGGTCTCGCGCGAAGAGCTTTTGGTCTTTGGGTTTATGGTACTCTATTCACTCCAGAGGCTAGACAGCAGATGGGGACTGTCAGGTAGCCTAGTTGGCCCATTACAAATTTTCACACCAAACTGAATGCATATCTCAATTCAAGTCCGAGTGACGTCGCAGGTTGGGCAGGCCTGGGGGGTGGTTTAAGAATCAAAATTTTAACCCCATTCTATTCCATCTTGTTAGAGGCTACCATCCTTTTGGGGAAAAAAAAATTAAAAAATCGGCAGCTGCTGATTGGATGGCGTACACCTGGAACTAGTATAACAGTCACAACAGTTCAAATCCTATTGAATTCCATAATGCTTCCAATCAACAACTCTCACATGCAGCCTGAGTAAAGTTGGATATTTAACAAGATCAATTTGGTAAAAAGTATTCGCAAGAAGTTGAAAAAACACACCCATTGCCCAGTGAAAGAAAAAGAAAAAGAAAAAAAGACTAAGGGCCCATATAAGGTGTGCACTGTGCTCCCACCAGAGTAATCCATATGCAGACAGTTGCGATCTGTGAGATTGAAGTACTTGAGCGAGGCTTGTCCCATAGCAAGTCGCTTAACCATTCGTTCATCGTAACTGGTCCAATAGAAAACAACCATCTATGTCCTTGAGCACTTTGTTGTTGTTGTTGTTGTTGTTGTTGTTGTTGTTGTTGTTGTTGTTGTTGTTAGGGGCTAGCCTCTAACTTTAAACCATTAGTACATCCGACTCTCTTTTGCAAAAGGTGGAATGCCCCTGTGCCCCAAGCTTTGCCGAACTGCCAGTGCCATGTTTTGTTTTTGCTTTGGCTGCCGCCGCCGCCAGCCATTCTGGTCCAGTTGCCCAGAGACTCCGACATTTTCAGAGAGAGGGTCTTCTTATTGTTCTCAGGTAGCCTGGCACCATGTACTGGTGGGTCAATGTGTTTATCTGATTCCAATCAGCATCGGAACTCAACTCATGTTCTGTTTATTAACACATCATACATGTGTGTACCGCTGAGACACGTGGGCTGGGTCTCGAGCACGAATTCAATTTTTTTACCTTCTTTGATAAGAAAATTTACTCGACCTAGAAATCCAGCATATTGTACTCCTGCAGAAAATGTTTCCTAACCATAGAGTTACTAACTGGCATGGAATAACTATTACTAGGACTATAGTTACTATAGAGTTACTAACAGGCGTGGAATAACTATTACTAGAACTTTAGTTACTATAGAGTTAGTAACAGGCGTGGAATAACTATTACTAGAACTACAACTATAGTCTCTGTATGTAAGCAAAAACTGGTTAGAGAGTTACAAGATCTATGTCCTATCCTTTAGACGATGCTGCAAACGTTTCAAACGCTTCTGTTAAAGTGGGTAAAGAATAGAATTATAATTCTTATTGGAAATAACAACTTTCATGAAAACTTTTCCACCAAGTTCGTATAACGTACTCTAAACCCCTCATCAAGACGAGAGGAATTTTTCCCATAGTTCTGACAGTTTGAATCGCGCAATAGTTCTAGCAATTTGAATCGCTGGATTTATGGACTATTTCTTGCTTTGCTTATATATTACCATTTCCAAGTAAAAGGCGTTATCATACACAGACTGGCTACGAGAACATAAAGGGGGGTAGCCCCTAACATTACTGTACCCATCTGATTCTATCAGAATTTGAAGTCATGCTTTGTTCATTTAACAACATTTTTCATCTTGATACAATTGCAGAAATCAGTCAGTGAGCTTGACTGTACAACATGGCCTACTTGGGTATATCCCTTCCCCACAGAGTTGTGCAGGAGGCAGAGAGGAGAGAGAGAGAGAGAGAGAGAGAGAGAGAGAGAGAGAGAGAGAGAGAGAGAGAGANTCCGATCTAGAGAGAGAGAGAGAGAGAGAGAGAGAGAGAGAGAGAGAGAGAGAGAGAGAGAGAGAGAGAGAGAGAGAGTAGGCAAGATCCGGAGTGATTGGATCATCCCGGTCACAAGCTGAGGACAGAACGATGCTGAGCATATTCAACATGCAAATAACCCTAAGAAAGGAAAAAAGGCTGATCTACCTGGTCCTACCAGTCATCCCATGCAGCAGCGTTACCTTTGACAATTTTGCATGCGACCACGAATCTCAGCCACGGTGCATTACTGTCTATGCGAGAGGTTCTCTGCCATCCTAATATCCCATGCATGGGGACCGTTCGGACAAGATCTTTCATAACCATGATGTGGTGCCCAGCTAAAATGAACCCTCCTCCCTCCCTCCCTCCCTCCCTCCCTCCCTCCCTCCCTTCTCTAGCCTGACTGCCTGCCTGTCAGTCACCAAAGATCTGAATGACTTCATCAATTGCCTTGTAGCCAGTGTTGTTTGCACAGGCACAAATCATCGATTGCCTGTGGTGCCACCACCCACCCATTGTTGTCCCCATGTCATTGATTGCCAGTTCTCCACCAACCCCAGCTATGCATTCATTCCCTTGTTCTAGAAGGCAATCAGTACTTGAGAGATCCTCAAACCATTGGGAATGGGGTCACATCATTACCATTCATTACAAAAGGACAGTGAGTGAAGCATACAAAGTGTGCTTTCCAGTGAACTTAGCCCCAATTGCTGCAGAAGGAATGTTTCATATAGACTGTATGTGGTCATGGGTAAGCAACAAAAACATAACAACAATGATCACTGCAAGAGCTGCCCCAACCAACCACGTAAGAGTATTTAAATGTTTAATCATAAAATTTTAAAAATTGATAACGTGCAAAGATGGTACAGAGAAGAGGCATACAAGTTCTGTTACTCTGTACAACAAACAGAGAGGCAAGACCACTCAAGCTCACAAAACCACCCCACCCCTCTTCTCCTCTCCCCCCACCGCCCAACATACATACATGCAAGCACACACCCCTACACACAGCACACACACACACACACACACACACACACACACACACACACACACACACACACACACACACACGCATACGCGTGCGCAGACATACAAATGCAAACAAAAAACAGTTGGTCCTCTCCTTTTCAAGTTTTTTTACTGTTTTCGGTGGCTATTTGAAATTTTGAATTGATGCCTACGTCCTGGCCTTCATTGCTTCAGAAGCAGGAGAAAGGGCCATAGATGCCTCTGCTGACCATGTCTGCACCTCCTTCAATCTCCCTCCGATTTCCATCTCCCAAGCTCGATCCACAAGGGGTGCGAGCTCTCGCAAATCGTGAGAAACTACAATTATCGTTCTGTCCTTCTTTAACTGCCTTAGCAATCTTACTAGATCCCCGCGAGCCTTCCAATCAAGACCTGCGAGCGGTTCATCCAACAGGAGAACATCAGGAAGCCTGACCAATTGAATTGCAAGGGCGAGGCGTCGCTTATATCCATCACTCAGAGATCTAGGCGACGTATCAAGGGATATCCCAGTGATCCCAACTGCCATGGCTGCAATCTGAAGCCGCATGGCCAAGTCCTTGCGAAATTCAAGGTCTTCAACCCCCCTGGGCCATCCAAAAGTCAACTCTTCCAAGACTGTATCGCTTAAAAAGTACCTTTCAGGGAACTGAAACACTAGGCCAGTTCTAGCCGTGAGCTCCGTTCGTGTGCAGCCCCTCTTTCTGCCACGTGTTCCTCCCCTGCTTCGCTGTCCCATCGCCTCCTCCCTCCGTCGCTGGCGTACGCCATCGCCAGCTGCACCACGTCCACCCGCTGCCACCTCATTTTCATCATGGAAGGAGATGATGCCAGAAGTAGGCACATAAAGCCCTCCCAAAATCTGCAAAAGTGTAGTTTTCCCACTCCCGCTCTTACCGTAGATCAACCCTAGACTGTTTTTGGGGAGAGACAAGCTCACTTTGTCAAGAAGAGGTTCTTTCACACCAGCAGGGAAGTAGCTGACACCTCTGACCTGCAGGAGCTCATCCCTCCGCTCGTCTTTCTCCTCCATCTCTTCATCCACCATCCCCCGACCATCCACGCCACCGTCACAGTTGCCATCAGTTATGGGTGCCTTATTACTGGATGCGGCAAGTCTCTTCACAGATGAGCTCCTCTGTTGACATGTCCACGGACTGCGTGCATCCAGTACATGGCACATGACCATGCCATGTGGACTCCTACTACTACCATCTGCACTCCTCCTCCTGCTCCTCGATCTCATGGAGAAGGTTTGCCATACATATTGCCCCTGTTGAAAATACTGTCTCCCCGACGACAATGCCTCCAGAATTGTCACGTTCTTCAGTGTTCCCGGAGAAGCTGTCACATCCGCTTCCAACTTCGGGATGCCAGCGGAGGAGCGATTTGCAGCCCGACATCGCAGATCAGCATGAGATGCTGCATTCCCTTGCTGCTTGACAACCTGCCACCACAAAGTAGCTTCTTGGCCAACGGAAGTCACCGGTGCAGAACGGACAGGGACCTGGACAAAAGCTGCCATCGCTGAGATTTCTCTGATTGTCATTCCCCGGTGATGGCGTCATAGGTGGTCACGTGCACATGCATCTCCAGCAGAACCTGTGTGTCACATGCAGATCAAAGGGGCGACATGTGCCGATTCCCTGCTCCCCAACCACAGTTCTCATCAGCAATGATGTTCGCTTGTCCATTGAGATATTGTTGACTACTCGTGTTTGTATGTGTTCTTGTTGGGTAATATCATCTCCATGCGTGTTGTTGTTGCTGTTGGGTGTGTAATCCTGTTTCCCCATCTGGGTATATGTGTTCTGTATGCACTAAACACACAACTCCACAATGAATGGCAACTGTGACAGACTGTTTCGTTGGACTTTCACCAACTCGTCAGGAGGTTGACCTCGACAGTCTTCCAGGACGCATTTGACTGATGGATAAGGACCCACCACCAGTACCCTTGAGAAAAATGGCCGGCTATACTAACACCAACCCTGTATGTGTATGTGTGTGTGTGTGTGTTGTCATGTTCGCTCTGCACAGCTCCACAAGAAAAGCATGACCATGCCAGACTGTTTCATCGGACTTCTGCCAAGTCATCATGAGGATGTTCAACCCCGACAGTCAAACTTCACGACAATCACTAACTGTCGAAGGACTTTTACAACCTCGACACAAACCTTGCGAAGCGAAGGGTGGAC